CAGTGGAAGGAGAAAGGTTTTCTGTTCATAAGAATGGTTCGCTGGAGATCCACAACGTGATGAAAGAGGACATGGGGGAGTATTCTTGTTTTGCTCAAAACACTGAGGGCAAAGTTGCCATTGCTGCAACACTTGAAGTCAAAGGTATGAGAAACAGATACTCTTTTGTAAATCAGTCAAGTTCAAGGGGTTTACAAGATTCAGAAAATCAATCAATTTAGTTAATCCATATAATCCAAAATGACTTTTGTTTTCCTTGTCAGATCCCACCAGAATAGTCGATCCTCCTCATGATTTGCGGGTTTTGGCCAGAACTACTATCCAGTTTTCATGCCAGGCAGAGTTTGATCCCTCCATTGGTGATGACTTTGAGATCCTCTGGGAAAAAGATGGCATGGCCCTTAACGCCAGCGAGAACGCACGGTGAGATACAACAGGATGTCATTATTCTACAGTAGTGAATGTCAGAGCTGTCTAATCAGTGTCTTTGCTGGTGTCTGTAGATATATCCTGGACGATGGAGTGCTTGAAATCATTAATGTGAGCTTTGGAGACCAGGGCTTTTATGCCTGTGTGGCCAGAACACCAGTCGACCAGGACATGGCGGTTGCACAGCTTTCAGTTGTGGGTGAGTTATGTGATTTTGGTCTATGCATTTTAGGAAAGTAAAGATGGACAGAAGTTTTGAGGGCTGAATTGGGTTCAGCGCACGACACAGGCGGGATTTGGCTACCTGCTGCGCCACAGCTGGAATTATATACTTAATAAGACAGCACCACATAGTATTTGTACAAATAAACTAGCTGGAGACATGACCTGGCAGGTAGTGCATGAGCTCTGTCATGTTTGAAACCAGCTGGTGTCATTTCCCAGACCCATCCTCCCTCTTCTCCCTATCATTTTCTTTATTTCTCCTACTGTCTCCAAAATATCTATAAAATGGCAACAAAAACAAAAAAAGCAACAATATCATGTAGTGAATCTGATTGAACTCGAGATACTTAATCGATTGACAGCCCTAAATAAAGTTTGTTGTTTCCTTAGATGTTCCTGATCCACCAGAGGATGTGATCCTTTCCGAACATAATGGCAGAAGTGTGAAACTGCAGTGGATTCCAGGAGATGACCATAACAGCTCCATTACAGGTAACATAGTCTTAACACCCTTATTGTCCATATACTAGTGGTTGAACGACTTCTGATTTTTTAAAGTCGACTTTTATGTGATGAAAGTCGAGTCGAAGTCGACTAGTCGCTGATGACGTCATTAATAAACAAAGAAGTCTGGAGCTATGATAAACACTTTGTGCACAGCTATGGCATATGACACAGCGCTGCCCACATGGCTATTGCTCATATAACAGCTAAGTTTTAACAGTTCTTTTGTCTTTGAGTCGTTATGTTTCTCACAGATTTCTGCTCGTTCTAAATCAGATATAGATAAAGTAGCACAGTAAAGATTACATTCATATGAATGCATTAGTGAGAGCGATTGCATGTGTGAATTGATTCTACCTGGCAGCGTCTCTTTACTAGTAGTGAAGCTGTGGGATTTAGTTATTAAGAAATATATGCTTGAACTTTTCAGTTTCTAAGCTATTTTATTGAGAAATCACAGAACAGTGTTGACAGTACATTTCCGCGCTGAATGATTCTGTGTGCGCGCGATCTGTGCGTGATGTACGAGCTACGGTCTGTAGCCTATGTGTGTGCGTTACAGTGCAGCAGCTCATTAGATTAGAACGGCGATTAATTTACCTACCTGTACAATAAGCGGTTTAAAACGTGCATTCTCCCATTCAATTTCGAGCATCCAGTAATATAATCTCACATGTCTTGTGGAGCGCTTTCAGAGTATGCATTTATTTGTCATTTTAACTGTTTGGAAACAGAGCGTAAATGTGGAAGTCTTTCAAAGATTTCTTATCCTGTTGCGCCCTCTATGGGACCAGTGACTAGTCGATGTCAAGCTTAAACCGTCATGGCAGAGCATTGAAGTCGACTAGTCGAATAGTCGGTGCAACCCCTACCATATACTGTATTATAAATATAAATTTGGATGCACTGGGTACAGATTATAGACTAGGACTTGCACAGCCTCTTGGTTTTACTTGTTTGGCCAATTTTTACCTTATATAAATGACTCAACATATGCTAATTACACTACCGTTCAAAACTTTGGGGTTGGTAATTTTTTTTTTGTTTATGAAGTCTCTTATGCTCATCAAGGATGCATTTATTAGATCAAAAATACTGTAAAAACAATACTATAGTGAAATATTATTTCAATTTAAAATAAGTCTTTTCTGTTTTAACATATTTTAAAGAGTAATTTATTCCTGTGACAGCGAAGCTAAATTTTCATCAGTCATTGCTCCAGTCTTCAGTGTCACATGATCTATTAAAAATCATTCTAATATGCTGATTTGATGCTCAAGAAACATGTTTTTTTTTTCAGGATTTTATGACGAACACAAAGTTCAACAGAAAAGATTTTATTTTAAATAGAAATATTTTATGACATTATGAATGTCTTTTACTGTCACTTTTTTTTCTTTCTGAATAAAAGTATAATTTTCTTTGAAAACAACAACAAAAAAATCTTACTGACCCCAAATTTTTTGAATGGTAGTGTAAAATGTAATTAATTTTTCATGTAAATTTGAGGCGTTACAAGGTATCATACAAAATTAATGTCACACAGCTACACTGGGATGCAGTTTATGTACAGATTAATTTTGCTCATGCACTGTAAAAGATCAGAAGTTACTGTAGGGTCTGTTTTCTACCTGATCTAACCTTTAACAACAATTTTCATTGGTGTAACCTAATGTAGTCAGTTTAAATCAGTCAATATAAATAATATTTCCCGAGTAAAGCCACTTTATTAAAATGTTGTCTGTGTTGACTCCAGTTCTAATTTTAAACTTTGTGCAGAGTTTGTTATAGAGTTTGAGGAAAGCCAACATGAGCCGGGCAGCTGGAAGGAGATGATGAGAGTACCGGGAAACCATCACTTCGCTCTGCTGAATCTTCACGGACACGTAGACTACCGATTTAGAGTCTCCGCCACCAATGAGGTGGGAAGAGGTCGGCCAAGCCAGGCCACTGAAAGATACAAAACTCCAGCATCAGGTATCTATGAGCTCTCCTTCTGTTTCTCCTAACCACGTCACCTTTATATATAGCAGTGAGGCCAACTTCATCACCTACTGAACTTTAAAACATTCAAACTTGTGAGATAATTGATTTTCCCTGTCATTTAAGCTCCAGTCTATAAAGTGCATATTTCACAGGCCATTTTTCTTTCTTCCACTTAACAATTTCATCTCCAACAAAATCCATATTTCTGCTCTTTCCAAAGCACCCGACAAGAACCCAGAAAATATCAAGATCGAAGGTCATTTGCCACATGAAATGGATATCAACTGGGAGGTACGATGCTAAACATTCAGTTCCAATAGTCTTCAGGAATATCTAACGTTCAAAGCACTGCAAAGGCTGCACAGATAAAGAAGAGCTCTCAAATACAGAATTTCATTTAGTTCTCAGAGGGGGAGTGCAAACTAACAGTGTCAGCTGTTAGGTTCCAATTATCGATAAGCGTATTTCCCGAGATAGCAGTTTTTGCATAGCAAAACATGGCTATCTTTATTGCCATGCTGTTGGGAAAGTTACAAAGCCCTGCTGAAATGGATCTCACTGGATACAGGTTCCCATCAAAAGGAGCCCAGAGTCAGTCTTTGATTAAAAAGTAAAAGGAACAGGATACATAAATTAAGATTTTCATATAAAGGTGAATGTCTTTTACAGTTTCTGAGCTATTACTTGGCCACCTTTTCATACTAATGCACCTACTTTATAAAATTATGAGGAATCTCATTGTTAATGGTGGATGTTAATGAATAATTGCATTTTGTTCGGTCTTTTGCTGCAAGATGATTGTAAAATCATAGTTAGCTGCTGTACCTTAGAGCTTTGTTAATAAAAGTTAATTGTTATAATGCTTGACATCATGATAAACCGTTGGCAATTAACCAGGTATAAGCACTGAACATTCTGCAGAAGTCTCCACAATAATAGACATGCATGGAAAAAAAAAGAATGATAAAATTAAAACAAATAATGGGAAAAAAAATGTAAAAAAAAATAAATAATAATAATAAAAAATAAATAAATACTATTGTTCAAAAGTTTAGGGAATATCAACAAAGGAAATGTTCCTTGAGCAAAATCAGCATATTAAATATGATTTCTGAAAGATCGTCTAACACTAAAGACTGGAGTAATGGCTGCTGAAAAATTCAACTTTGCCATCACAGATATAAATGACATTTTCAAATTTATTAAAATGGAATAGTAATTTTAAATTGTAATACTATTTCATTACTGTTTTTACTGTATTTTGGTGAGCATAAGAAACGTCTATCAAAAACATTACCAACCTCAAACTTATAAAGAGTAATAACTGTAAAATATTATTTCACATGCTTATTTCTCAGAAATAACTGAGAAAACAAAGCATGAATATACAGTTCTATATGCAGGTATCTACTGTAGCTACTAACTTGCTACTAACCATCTTGAGCAAACCATCTCTAATTATTCCTCAGAAGTGCTCATTATTTAAACTCAAACTGATAAACGTGCCCCCCTTACTCTTGGAAACTGTGTAAAGCCAGCCAGTCTAATTGCAAATGTTGATTTCTGCCAGTGTTTGCCATTTTTTTGTGTGCAATATTCATCATACGGTCAGCAACACATGGTCCGTGAGCGTGCACTGAGGATGAGACAATAAAAACACCAAGTGTTTGAGAACTAAATGCTATTTCCTTTGATTTTCTGTTTCTGTCAACTGAACTGAGCTCTTTTGTTCTCCTGTCACAGCCACTGTCACCTATTGAACACAACGGGCCTGGTCTGGAGTACAAAGTAAGCTACAGAAGGCAAGGCACTGGAGAGGACTGGATGGAGCACATGGTGAAGAGGCACTCGTTCGTTGTTAAAAACACCCCAACGTTCGTCATTTACGAGATCAAAATTCAGGCCAAGAACCATGCGGGCTGGGGTCCAGAACCTGAAATAATCACAGCGTACTCAGGAGAGGATTGTAAGTAGGAGCAACCTCCATTGTGTCTGAGCTGTGGAGATGAGCATGCATTCAAATAAGCCAATACCATTGACATTTCACTCACTGTCAAAGCATTGTGCATGTTTACCTTTGAGAGCATACAAAGCAGGTGAAGATTTTGAATTTTTTTCTAACCTTTTGTTTGTCTGTAAGGGTCTTATTACATTGCAAATAAGCATTGCCTGTAAACAGAAACACATAACCCACCCCAGCAAAAGTGCAGTACATGTGTGACGAGAAGATCAACAAACCTAGAGGACAGAGAACGCTGATGAAATACCATCTTGCCTTTACACAGCATCCAAACAGTAGCGCTGATATGCTGATTTGTTGTGCCTTATTGAGGATATTAAATTGCACAAGCGGGAACGATTTCCTCACTAGTCTTTGTAGATGAAATAATCACAGCGTACTCAGGAGAGGATTGTAAGTAGGAGCAACCTCCATTGTGTCTGAGCTGTGGAGATGAGCATGCATTCAAATAAGCCAATACCATTGACATTTCACTCACTGTCAAAGCATTGTGCATGTTTACCTTTGAGAGCATACAAAGCAGGTGAAGATTTTGAATTTTTTTCTAACCTTTTGTTTGTCTGTAAGGGTCTTATTACATTGCAAATAAGCATTGCCTGTAAACAGAAACACATAACCCACCCCAGCAAAAGTGCAGTACATGTGTGACGAGAAGATCAACAAACCTAGAGGACAGAGAACGCTGATGAAATACCATCTTGCCTTTACACAGCATCCAAACAGTAGCGCTGATATGCCGATTTGTTGTGCCTTATTGAGGATATTAAATTGCACAAGCGGGAACGATTTCCTCACTCAGAGTCTTTGTAGACTAACAAATGAAATGTTATCATGGCTATGAGCTATTTACATTTGTGGCTATAATTATTCTTCTGCCTTCAGTTTTCTTTTGGAGTTGCCCTCCCGATGTTATCTCAGGTCACTACGTCTCTGTGCAGTACGATTAGTTTAGTCCCCTTTTCTTTCTCAGTCTCTCCCTCTTTTTTTATTTCTCTCTTATCTTAGTGCATATTTGCCAGTGTTGGGAGTAACTAGCTAAAAGTAGCGAATGAATGCTAAATTGCTGTTTGTTTGTCTGCAGCTTTAAAGCCGAGCAAGCTGATGGAATGAAAGTATGATTCATTCTAGTGAATCAGTTCATTTTGAAGGTTCATGTGAAAAAAAGATTCAGAAATTAGTCACCTGTTTGAATCCCTGCATGGCAGAGATTTATCTTTTCAGATTCCTTAATTGGTCCGTTAACGATTATTTTAATAGTTTTAAAGAGATAGTCAACAAAAAAAGAAAAGAAAAGAAATTTCTGTCATCATTTTCTCAACTTCATGTCATTACAAACCTGTATGCATTTGTTTTCCTCTGCAGAACACAAAAGAAGTTATTTTGAAGAATGTTTCTAACCAAACAGTTTTGATTCCCATTGATTTCCATTGATTAGCATTGATTTTTATAAAAATTCGGAGTATATTTGTGATATTAACACTCATCACTGCTCAAAAAAGGTGACATTTATGAAATCTAACATATACATTTTTTAACAAAACAACATAACTATTATTCTAGAATGTTCAAGTGCTGAATGTAATAAATATATTTTACTTACATTAACTTTCACTTTCAGATTATCACATTTTCATGCTGCAATAAGCATTATATTTTACAATAGTATTTTTGAGACATATATATATATATATATATATATATATATACACAGTCATGTTGAAACATGGGTCAAAATGGACCCAAACGCTAAGAGTTTAAATGGTGATTTTTTTAAAAACATACATTAAAGGAAGTGTATTTTGATAGTATTTACACAAGTTTGGTTCCCATACTAAAAACTATGCATTTTTTCAAAACATACCCAAATGCATTATGAGGGTTTTAATATATTGCATAAGGGCTGTTAATAATACAGTGTTTAAAAAGTATGTGTGTGTGTGTGTGTGTGTGTGTTTTAAATTATATGTAGCTTAGCTTTGCAGGGTAGAGTTTCGATGTTGCTTACCCAACACTGGTGTTTACAAGGTTTTATTCCATTATAATCAAATCTCTTCCCATTAGCAGGTGTCAGTGAGATTGTGAGATTACTTAGATTGTGTATGGTAAATCACTGTAGTATAGGCAATTTGCCAAGTGTTTGATAACGAAATGTAGTTACAAAACATAAAAACAATATTATAGTCCATAACTCCACATAAACAACTATTACTCCCACCACAGTTTTTCCCATGATTACCCTCAAAATTACACTACATTTCTTGGTCCTTATTTCATGGATATTGCTGAATCTAATTCACTGGCATTATCTTGATTTAGGAACAGTGTAATTTGAAGGCAGCTATATAGAGCTATTTGTAATATTTAATTTGCATGTTATTCGTCCATAGTCCCCACAGCCGCTCCAGAGGGTATAGCCGTAGAAGTGATGAACAACACCATGGTGAAGGTCAGATGGGACCATGTTCACAAGGACAAACTCAATGGACATCTGGGGGGCTACAGGGTAATTCCGCACCAACATGTGTTTTGCTTTGTAGCCATGGTTTAAAGGCCAGTGACCCCTTTTTTGACCTCGAAGCTCCTCTTGTTTCCCAGCAAGCTGTCACAGCTATCCACATGTATTAATCGATGGTGGTATTTTACTCATCAGCTGTATTTCACTACCCATGGACTAATCTAACCTCATGTACTTACAGATAAGCTTTTGGAGGCTTCGTAGTCTGCTGTACTCAAAGAAAACACATGGTGACAAACACACATTGACATTCTCAGGCGAGAGGAACCATGCGGTGGTCACAGGGCTTAAGCCGTTCTCTGAATACAGCCTCATTGTCATGGCCTTTAACAGCAGAGGAAACGGGCCTGGCAGTCATCCGGTCAGCTTCAAAACACCTGAGGGAGGTGAGTGAGGAGAGGACGTGTGTGAACATAATACATTTGGTTTTGTGAGTTAAGGCTTTTGCACAGATTTTTCCCCCCGATTTGCAGTCTGGATGAGTAGACGCTAGTTGATGAAAGTCAGAGCCAGTCTGCGGGTTTTGGCAGTTGGATTTGACAGATTTCACAGAATATCACATCATGTACTTTAAACACAACAGACTCTGATTTCTTTAGCTTCAGACTATCTGTCCAGTTGAAGCATATCGAATACGTTTGATATTTAGAGCCTACTTTAGAACACACATTGTTTTCATTTGTCATGTTTCTGTGTGAGTTTATTGTTTTTGAAACAACTTTAAAATTTGGTAGTGTGTAATCCTCAGTCATTTAGTGTACAGTATAATGCCCAGTTGTTCTATGTAACCAGTTCCAAGTCAGCAAGTGTATGATGCCTAGTGTTAAGTTAAAATATGTTCCAATTTTAAAAGTCGAGTAGTGTGTCCAGCCTTTAGTTTACCTTAAAAGACATGCTATGTTCCAATTTGCATACTATACATCCTAAATAGTATTCGAAATTAGATTTAGTGTGTCCCAAATTGTAGTATGTTGCAAATGCATGCTCACTCTAATGGCTAATATTAGAACTACAATTAAGTATAAAGAGTGTTCAAAATCATGTCAGATGTGTGAGACTGATGGTTAAGTAGAGATGTTTAGATGAAGGGGTTTGAGTGATTAATAATCAATATATAACATAATAAAAAATTTAAAAAAATGTATTCGCATTATATTTCATCTGCAACAAGATTGTGAACATTTATAAAGATACGTTTGGTCATTAACTTGCGTCATGCAGAAGTTATTGACTGGCAGATCAACATGCTACATCATTTTTTCTCCAAAATGGTAGGAAATTAAATGAAATTAAATATGGAAGATGTTGACTGTGGCAAGATGATTGACAGGGCAGTTTAAATGGTAACAGGATGCACCTAACAAAGCGACAGTGAGGTCCGTTAAAGACGCAATTATGACAAAGTAGTATTTCCCAAATGTTGCATGCTCTTCTGCTAACACACTCAAAATTAAATATTTTTTTCTTCACAAAAAGAGTACATATTTTTAGAGCATAATATACGTAGGTTAATTGGGATGCAGCAGTTGGCTCTGGTTTGTCATGTGACCATTCTAGTCACATGTCAAGTGACTAGAATATTTGGAAACAAGTTTGAATACTTGGAAATGCAAATGAGATACCTTTGATGTAGGGGAAGAAAGAAAGTCCCAAAGTTTTGGAATGAACAAATGAATAATAATGACCATTTTTGTGTGAAACGTTCCTTTAAATTATTAATATATCTGTCAACTCTTTCTTTCATTCCCTACCTTCAGTTCCTGGTCAAGTATCTGCTTTCAGTGTTACAAACATCCAGAAACACAAGGTCACCTTGACCTGGTCTCCTCCAGTTGACGCAAATGGACTCATAATTGGCTACATCCTCCAATATCAGCTAAGTATGTGAACATTGCATTTCTAATTTGCTCATAACCCTCGCTATAAACATCTGCATCTTGCTGTGAGGGTTATGTGCTGGGGTTTGAGTAAACAGCTTTTATTTCTGATATTCATTTTTCACGTGGCCCATGACACAGCAGCATTATTGGTCATTACAGTGATTCTACAGTGAAACTACACACCACTGGATTTGCATTGAATGTTTTTAGACTCGGTTCATGTTATTTAAAGTGCCAGAGCGTACAGAAGGTAATTTTTTTTATGGCACAGAGCGCATAAAAAAGCTATTGCCCTGTGTCAACATGTTGCCTGTGATGCAGTTGAGGATTTGGACATACAAAAACAGCAAAGTTCTCTTTGATGATTCATGTCTCATTACATCGAGTGATGCCTACGTCTCACCACTAGGAGATATTGTTGTGCCACCTACCTTAGGGTTGGCAGCTGCATCTTATATTCCACAGAGACTTCAGTGTTATGAACATAACTGTACAGGACCTCAATAAGACACAGTTGTATATTTGCTAAATGATTTATGGAAAACAATTACTTTGACTTGTTAAAGTTGCCTCACTCAATTTGCTTATTTTTATTATACATGTAGATATATCGAATTGAAGGCACACTAGTGAATTAAACAGCTATTTACTGCATGCTAATAGAGTATGCTTTGGTTTTAATTAGGATTTACAGTGAGAAACACTGCTGATTACATAAATGTAGAAGGTTTACAATGCACATCGTACTAGTAGTTAAGTGATGCACTATAAGGAAAAGCAAAACATTGTGAAGCATATCTGTAAATATCAAGGGATAAAGATTTTGTTATTTAAAATGTAATGGTAAAATTAAGAATAATTGTAGCCAACCATATAAAAATACTTTTAGACCAATCAGAAGTCACTGTAAACCGGTTGCATGCAAGCATCAGCAGCACTCAACACTGAAAAAAAATGATTCATGGAATTTACTAAAAAAAAATTAAGGTAAGTGGTTGCAATCAAATTATTTTAGCTACATTTAAATAAACTAATTTAGTTGAATTTACTAATTTTTTTAAGGTAAGTGGTTGCAATCAATTTATTTTAGCTACATTTAAATAAACAAATTTAGTTGACTAACTTTCAACATATTTTTTTTATTAAATGTAGCTAAAATAAATTGTTTGCAACCACTTACCTTAAAATAATTTAGTATCATTTTTTTTTCAGTGAAGCCTGGTTAATGCTATTACTGAGTTTTAATTAGTATTTTTAATTTATTTTCCAGTTAAAATATCAAAAATTCTTGAAACAAGAAATCAACTATATATGTAATATTAAAAAAAGAAAAAGAAAGAAAAATTAAAAGAAAAAAAAAAATTAATATTAATATTAATATTAAAGTTTTACATTGTGCCTGCCACTTTTCAGATTGTTTTTATGCCCCTAGAGAAAATGTTTTTGAAAAATTGGTTTCCATTAATTTTCCAAGAAGTATAAGGTCTGCTCATTGTCTGGTCCAGGGATTGCCAAGCTTGTTTGTTAGCCAAACTCCTTTGGCCTAAAATATTTACTTGAAGTAACCCCTGGGATTTTAAGTTAATATTTAAATAATTTAAGTTATCTTATGTCACTTAGTGGTCACATGACATGCAGGTTAACAAAACTAAATATTTAAGTATTTTTAGTAAGCATTTTATTTTGATTTGTTTTTATTTTAAATGTATTTATTTCATTTTATATTTTTATGGTTTAATGAATTATTAGCTTTTTGAACTTCCTGCAGTTCCATCACAAACCCCAATCTGGGAAACCCTGGTCTACTGTACCTGATCATGGAAAAGACATTTGTGACCCCGGTATACCATTGTGATCAAGCTGACACCCTTTCTCGCACTGACTGTTCTACATGCATCATATCACAGTATAACACCAGGCTGTGCGTGTGCACCGCTCAACACGTAACCAGATCCCAGCAGGAATGATGACGAAGCTGATTATGATGCATACAGTCTGGGAGGCCTCGTCAGCTAATTGTGTTTGATGCTGCGGCTGATCATTGAGGCCAAGTGTCAGGTTGCGTATTAAAAGAAACAACATTTTCATCAGGAGAGCTTGCTAAAACCATTCTGCCATTCTGCTCCCTTTGAAGTGGGCTCATTGAAGTCCCCTTGAAGAAAGTGGTAAGCAAAATGCTGGCAAGAGAGTACACAGCTGTACCCATCGAATGGAAAACGGATTAAAGAGCCACTGCACAGATGGCCAGCAGCCAGATCCAACTATGCTAAAATCGCACAGAGTTAACAATTCACACATTGTGAATTACGGAGGATTCAGAAACAGTGTTTTTTGTTTATTTTTGTTTGAAAGACTTATTGGGAGGAAAGGGGGAAATGTTGCAGTACAGATCCAAACCTATTTAAACAACATAAGCGCAATAGCTCAATAACACATCATGAGCACATGGACAAGAAATTATGTTTTAATTGGTAGTGCCCAATTCGGTACACAAGTGCTTCCTGACTGACTGACAGCTACTTTCAAATGCACACATGCTTATGTCTGTGCATCATATGTAAATAATGCTTGTTCCTTGTTGTGATGTGTGAAAAGTCAACTGCAGTTCTTGCCAGGGTTATTAATGCAAACACAAGTGGTTTGTCATGAGTGAATGCAAAAAAGAGAGAAAATCTGATTTGTGTCAAAATATTGAAATATTGTGTCTAATATATAACACCAAGGCAATTCCATTGTTTTTTCATGCAATACTCAATTTAGAGATTTTGGGTTATTTTGCTTCCATAACGTCTTCAGACTAGTGGAAAGAAACCACCCAAAATACACATTTAAGTGTTTTTGTATTTATATTTTACACTTTGTCTATTTGTGTTTTGTAGATTTCAATTACAGTACATATCTTTAAAGGTCGTTTTCTCAAAATGAGAAATTTTTTCTCATGCGCTGAACCAGAAATCTCCACTTCAGTAGCACTTACATACATACTCTGTACATACTTTTTCAGAGGGGTTTGTTCATACATCATTTTCCTGATTTTCCCCCTAAAAATATGATAAAAATGTTATTTCTTTACTGACTGTTGACAGTTATTATATATATATATATATATATATTATTATTATTATTTTTATTTTTTTTTTATTTTTATTTTTTTTACTTTCCTTTACCAAATTTACCTGTATTTACTTTTTCATATTTGGCGACTTTTTGTGAAAAATGGAGC